GATCTATTTCCTAAGCACTTTCCCTGATAATTGAGATCATTGAGAATGATATTTTTAAAGTAAGATGTAATAGAAAGATCTCATTGTTATATATTTTTAAGGTAACATATTTTTATGATTTGGTGTGTAATATTGTGAAATTATTTACAGACCACTCAGGCTGTATGATTTGTATATGCAGCACTGCTGCATCTTTGCTGTACACACCTATTCCCATAGAATGGTATGCACATAGTTTTATCCTTATTCAGTAACATATGTATAATGTTGAAATACATTATGATGATAATTATTGTAAAGTTTTATGATGAATATTGATTGATATATAATTGCGGAGAAATATATGTATATTCTATGTGTAATGAATTATCTCCCTTGACAATCATTGTGTTTTTATGCTTAAATATTTACACTTGTTATATTGTTAATATTGCAGGGTTTAATTCATATCTGGTAATAAAGTCTTGTCAGAACCCTCAACAGGCGGTTATTCTTTCTTCAAGTGATACCTCATTCATGGCTACAGGAAGCGATTCGAACTACCACGAACACAATGAGGAAATTGAAAAACTCAGTTCTTTATTGGATAACATTTTCAAGGACGAATTAGCTACTAAAAGAGCAGTAGAAATAATTCTCAGCAAACAAACATTCAAAAACACAATATCGGAAGCATTAGTCGAAAAGGTCACTCAACTTGAGGCACAAGTTGAAAACCTCACTACACGGATGGACGACATGGAGCAATACTCCAGACGTACATGCCTTAAGTTTACGGGTATCCCCGAAAACAAAGACGAAAATACGGATCAAATGATCTTAAATGTGATCAATAATTATGTCCTTGACACAGAAGACGAAAAGATGGATTTATATCAGATCAGTAGATCCCACAGGGTGGGGAGACCCCCAAACAATGACAATCGTCAGGACCAAGGCAAAGGTCAACGTCCCCGTGATATTATTGTGAAGTTCGTATCATACAGAGATCGTGCCCTCATTTATGCCAAAAAAAGTAACTTAAAGCCATTTAACGAAAATGAACAAAACAACTACAAAATATTCGTTAATGAGGCCCTTACCAAGAAACGCGCAGAGCTTCTCTTCCAGACTAGACTGCTTGTGAAAAACAAAGCGTTAGAGCAGGCTTGGACTTATGATGGGAACATTCTCGCCAAAACCTTAGCTGGGAAAATAATTACCCTCAGAAGCTTTGATGACTTACTAAAATTTTAACAGCATGGAGGCCAGTGCGAGAAATAGCCGCAGCTTTCACTATCACATCCACTCCATTCATATGGTATAAGTTGTGAAATTTGTGAAAGCACGAACACATGGCTATTTCCATCTTAGTCCCAAAGACGCTTAAATTCCTAATGGTATTTCCCCGTGTCTAAAAATAGCACATAGTTCATCTTCGTTATTTTTACCTGTATTACCATATATTAATATTGGTGCTGCTCTGCACTAACTGCCAGTTTATCAGCATGTCATTTCTAGTGAACTACATCCTGTATATATGTTGGTTGTTTGTATGGAATATAATTCAAGATTACATCCAAGCGCTGTACATATGCTTTTTTATTCCGAATGTCATATATTGGAACCTGTTTTTGTTCACGTTTCTCTATTATGTTTTTTGCTCATTCAAATATTTGCACCCCGTTAAACATCTCATCTGTTTTCCATTTTTTTGCACGCAGTTTGTTTATTTATTTTGTTTGTCTATATCTGTTGACTTAGCTGACCTTATTTTGTTTGTTTACTTCCTGTCAAAACCGAAAGTAGGAAAACCATGCATGGCTGTGGCAAAAGAAATTGGCTGAAGCTATTATTTTTGACACCCATGACTAAATGTAAGATTGATAAATGTTTTTCTTATGCCACAGCCATCAATTTGCTTCTACAAATCTAGTATTATAGAGGTATGATTATGTCATTTAGTTTTTTTACCCTGTATTATTTACTTGTAATTGGCGGTGTTGAACCGAACCCAGGCCCCAATTTAAATGGATCAAGATCTAATATAAAAATAGTGCATAAAAATGTATGTAGTCTCTTGTCAAAAGTTGATATTATTTATAATGAACTCTCTGACTTTGATATTATTGGAATTACTGAAAGTCATTTTGATAGCTCTGTACCTACTGATGATATTGAATTTGAAGGATTCCAAACACCAATTAGGTTAGATCGCAATAGATACGGAGGTGGTGTGGTTTTATATGTTAAAAACAATCTTAAATTTACTCACGGACACGATCTCTCAAACCCAAATATAGAAATGATATGGGCTGAAATTGAGAATTCCTCAAATAAATTTCTTATTGGGATATTATACAGACCGCCTAACACAAAGGCAAATTTTATTGATCATTTGGCACCTTCACTTGAGAATGCTCTAAATACATGTTTACCAATATTTTTACTGGGTGACTTTAACTTTGATATGTTGTCTAAGGGAAATAATGCATTTAAAAGTCTATTGAAGAAATTTTCCTTAATAAATTTAATCAACCAGCCAACTAACTTCACTTCACAAAAGGGAACATGCATCGATCTTATACTTACAAATAATAGTGAAAAAGTTGAATCAGTAGATGTATTAACCCCATTCTGCAGCACACATAGTCCAGTAGGTGTTGATATAAAATTCAAAGCATTTAAACAACTTGCTTATAAAAGAGTAATTAGAAACTACTCAAAGGCTGACTATAAATCGCTCAACAAAAATCTTTCAGAAGTGGATTGGGATAAAGAAGTTTTCAATAGCCAAAATATTAATGAAGTTTACAATAATTTTACTAGAACTTATAATTACTATGTAGACAAAAATATACCCAAAAAAACCGTTGTAATTCGACCATCTGATAAACCTTTTATGACGAATACTATTAGACGTAAAATGCGACAAAGAAACAGGGTACATCGTAAAGCAAAAAAGACAGATAGTGATTATCAGTGGAGTAAATATCGGAGACTAAGAAATGAAGTTATAGCAATGGTACGCCAGGCAAAGAATACTTACAAACAAAAAATTACATCACAAATCTTAGATAAAACTATTCCTCCTGGTAAATGGTGGAGAATTGTTAAATCATTAACCAAATTTGCTAATAAAAATAAAATACCCCCACCACTAAAATGTAATGGTAAAATCTTTATCCATCCTATTGATAAGGCTACACAACTTAATAAACATTTTGCTGAAATTTCTCATATTGAACATTGTAGAGAACCTAAATTGCCCCCTCAAGAACCCGGCCCTCCTTATACTATTGATTCAATTAGTATTTCAACTGAAGATGTCATTGATCAACTTGAAAATTTGAATATAACAAAGCCTCCTGGTCCTGATGGAATTGCACCACAAGTACTAAAAAATATAATTCTTGCCATCAGTAGACCACTAGCTAAATTATTCAATCTGTCACTGAAAAACAAAAAAATTCCATATATCTGGAAACAATCAGATATAACACCTGTATTTAAAAATAAAGGGAGCCCAGAAGATCCAGCAAATTATAGACCAATATCACTTACTAGTAGTATCTGTAAAATCATGGAAAAAATTATATTTAAATATCTCTACAACTATATGAATGATCACAATCTTCTCTCTAAGAACCAGTCAGGATTTCAACCCGGTGATTCCACTGTTAATCAACTTGTTGAAATTTACAACACAATTATATCAAATCTAGATCAAGGCAAAGATGTTAGGTTTGTTTTCTGTGACATATCCAAAGCTTTCGATAAAGTATGGCATAAAGGTCTATTGTTTAAACTGCAACAATATGGTTTCAAAGGTGAAATCTTAGGTTGGATCGAAAATTATCTTTGTGATAGAGTTCAGAAGGTAGTGTTAGAGGGATATTCTTCAGGATTGGAAAGTGTCAATGCTGGAGTTCCGCAAGGGTCGGTTCTAGGACCATTCCTTTTTCTTATTTATATTAATGATATTACTGAAAACATACAAAATCAAATACGACTGTTTGCAGATGACACATCTTTGTTTGTTATTGTCGATACTGACATAGATAACCCAGCAATATCTCTTACTACAGACCTTGAAAAAATAAGGCAGTGGTCCCATCAATGGCTAGTTGAATTCAACCCTAATAAAACTATTAATGTCAATTTTACTAGAACTCAACGAGTACATCCAAATATTACATTTGGAAACACAATGAATATAATTTCCCAAAATCAAAGTCACTGTCACCTTGGACTGACACTTCAGTCTAATGGGGGCTGGTCAGAACATATCGCAACAATTTATGAAAAAGCTTGCCTAAGACTAAACATACTGCGCACACTAAAATATAAATTAAAGAGAGACTCCTTAATCAAAATATACCTATCATTTGTTCGACCAGTTGTAGAATATGGGGATGTGGTATGGGATAATTGCACTGAAGAACAATCTAAATTATTGGAGAGTGTGCAGGTGGAAGCTGCAAGAATAATTACAGGCATTAGGTGTAATACATCAAAAAGTAATTTATACAAAGAGTTGGGATGGGACACTTTAAGTTCAAGAAGGGAAAATCATAAGCTTACATTGATGTTTAAAATACTTAATAATCTTACCCCTGATTATATGAATAATATGCTTGAAGGATGTATGCCAATCCAGCATAATTATAATTTGCGCAACCCTAATTCATATCGAATCCCAATCATTAGAACAGTGTCATACTACAACAGCTTTGTACCATCCACAATATCCTTGTGGAAAAATTTATCAGAGGATTGTAAAAACTCCCCTTCATTACAAACTTTTAAAAATAAATTAAACTCTACCACTCCTATTCAGAAAAATAAATATAAACTTTACAATTATGGTAATAGAATTGAAAACATAATACACTGCCAGTTAAGGAATAAATGTAGCAACCTTAATGCTGATCTTTTTAAAGATCACTTAAATGAATCACCAATATGTACAAATTGTGGATATCAAAATGAGAACTCACTGCATTTCTTCTTGTATTGTCAACAATATGCCTTACAACGACAATTACTGATTAAATACATGAATGAAAATAACATACCAATTAATATAGAAAACATATTATATGGTGTAGACTCACTAAGTATGGATAAAATTTTTTCATTTTTTGATAAGGTACATACCTTTATAAGAACCTCTAAGAGGTTTTCATTGAAATTTTAGTTTATTATATTCTATGGGAAATATATTATTTTACTATATGTAAACTGCTCTGTTAGGGAATTCTTCCTACTCTGGGTCAACAACAATTGCTCAAACATATGTTCTTGTTCTTTTGTTTGGTTTGGTTTTTTTTTCCTTTTTGTTGATTATATTTTATTTATTATATAATTATTATTTTTCCTATCTATTTGTTAAATTATATTTTTTTCTTATCATTTCTCTCTCTCTCTCTCTCTCTCTCTGAATAAATTCCAAATATGTACCAATTTATAATCTACTCTTCATACATTTTTCAATGTTTACATGTACTTGTAATTGTACCTTGACCTATGGAGAGAACGATCATAGGCATTTATGCCTGCTGTTCAATCCATTTCTTTATATGAATAAAATATATTTTAAACTAACTGTCATAGGGATATGATTGGCATGCATTTTGTAAAATTGGAAATAATTTGGCAGAGACTTATTCTTTAGTTTTCATTTCATTTTTTCCCGAGACCTTTGTATAAATGAGCAGTAGAGATTGGGTGCTTATTTATATGATTTTACTGGATTGTAACACAAAAAAGGGGGATGAAATATTTTTAACTTTTAAGTGAACGCTATGGTCAATAGGGCAAGGTCTATTCTTTTGTATTTTTGATAAGTCATACATGTTATAATTACTTAATCGAATATTTTTATATGCATGAATAAAATTATTTTAGAGAATCGATGAACAATACAAAATTCAGAAGTATAGTAACATTTATTTATGAGTGCGATAAACAACGTCATCTTTCTGACATTCAAAATCAATAAATTTAAAGATTTATTATTTTTATTCATTTATCTATTTTGGGGGGAGCAAGCAAGTGGAGTTTCGGTCAACTTTCCCTGCATTTAAACTGTGAACAGTTAAAGTCAATATAATTTCAAACAAGTGCTTTCAGTATACAGGTATATAAACAATTTTTTATATATATTTATCACTGTCTATATGACTGTATATTTTGCACATTTTTTTAATTAAAAGGTGAAGTCCAAACCATTGTTAACAGAGATTCAGAATTGA